TTTACGTCTAGGTGTTGAGCAGGGATTCAAAAATATTCAGAGGGAAAAATAAAAATCAGTAGGAAATTATCTATATGGCAGGTGAGAGGCTTTCTTTTTTTGTCCTATTGAAACTAATTGGTAGATGTAGAGGACTAAGGGTCAACTGACAGAAGTAAAGTGCTGACTACTCACCTGCTGGTTTCACAGTTGATGCCATCTCTATTGAATATGAAGATCTGTTGAGCATGAACAGCTAACGATTGAGGTTGTAGTGTGAGGGGGAGGAGACATAGGCACCGACCGGGACTCAGGAGTCCTGGTCATTTAGAAGCATATGGCAGAATTAATTAAAAGGAACATGTATTAGAGGAAATCTTGTTCTTGAAAAGAGACCTATGAAGCGTATTATACCAAGCACATGAGAAGACAGATCTCATGCCAAATTTTGAACTGCATAAAAGGTTCGAAGGAAGATAAAAAATTAATCCTATTATCTGCCTAGTTTGCTGCTAAGTTGCTGCATATAACTGGCACAGACTCATTATATAATATATTATGTAACACTAACAAATCTTACAATTTTTAATCATACATTATTTGTACCAAGGCCCCAAGAGTCTTTTTCATTAGATAAATTAGAAACATAATGTCTTACTATGTTCTTTCCTTCTTGTGGAAGATGTGAAGCTCTTCGTCGTGAAGATGTAACCTGAAATATCGAAGACATACGAATCAAAGTAATGACGAAAAGAGGAAAAATATGCAAGGACTAATTGCATATTGAGACACTGAAAGTTTGGTTGTGCAGGTAACGGCTGTATAGGCAGCATCCATTTTTTTCCTTCATTTTTTTTTTTTTTTTGGTTTGGCATTCCATCGAGCGACGGGAAGGCATAAGTCAGAAAGGCGAAAGAGAACAGGGATTGAAGGCCTTACCGTGTATGGGGAGGAGGAAGAACGCGGAGCAGGGCTGCCCCTTCGGCTGGCGGGGCCGTGAAGCCGGTGGAGAAAGACGGTGGCGGCGGCGGCGGCGGCGGCAGACACCTGCTGTATGAGGTTTCCGGCAGTGGTGGAGGGAGCCGGACGGACAGGCCGCAGGCGTGTCCGCGGCTGTCGGCGTTGGCGCGGGCGTCAGCAGCCGGCAGCGTCCGCCGATGGAGGCGGAGGTCGCGGTGAGGGGAGGGAGCCGGCGATTGGGACGGCTGGCGCGGCGGCACTGCGGGGACGGCCTCAGCGACGGCGGCGCTGGCAGGGGCGGCGAGCGGCGCGGAGGGAACGCAGACCGCGGGACAGCGGGCGGCGGAGGGCACCGGGGCGTGAGCGTCGCAGCGGCGCAGAAGGTTCGCGAGGCGGAGTTTTTTAATCTCTGTTGACCGTATGAGGTGGAGGTGATATGCGGACCGTTGATTGAAAATCCAATGGACAGGGTAAAGGGATGACGTGTCCGTTTGTGGGATCAGATAAGGTAGTATAGGGATAAGGGAAAGGATAGATATTACATATTATTTATAAAAACATGGTGAACAATTACTTTTAATACAGAGTTTTTTTTCTTTTATAGATATTTAATTGTTTGATTCGTTCAAAGTTGAAAACTGAGTCAAGATAATTTTATCTACACAAAACTCACATATTCTTTCTTTTTAAAACTGTCAAGTCATGAAGTAATAAGTTATTAAAGCTATAGAAACGCGTATAAAAGACCGGCACGCACGCAAAAGGGTCACAGAGGGGACAACCTCCCAACCAAGCTACACAGAGGGCCGGCCTACCCAAAAAGAAAATAATAACAGCAAACAGTTGGGGTCACTGCGTCAGAATACCGGAACACGTCCAAACGTAGTACAGGATTGATCAGCAGCAGAAATAAAAGTTTGGATCGATTGAAAATTGAAATGCATCGCTGCCAAGAATCAGAGCCGTGATCAATCTGTTTCCGTACATGACATTTTTATGCTCGGTGCTGATTTGGATTCGCATCACGTCCATGCCCTCGTCGAATGGGTTGGCTCTCGGCTCGCCTGACTTAGGGTCTATTTGATCTTTTAGTACGAATCGCTAGCAGCTACAATTAGCATTAATAGATCTAAACATCATATTTCTTTATTTTAAATTATAAATTATTTGAGCTTTCTAGACTACATATAACATAGCATCCATATAGGTATATAGTAAAAAGGTAAAATTATATACCAAAAACAACTTATAATTTAGAATAGAGAGGGTAATTAATAGCTTACAATACATAAAGTAAATAAAAAATAAAAGTTATAAGTTGGCTTTCCTAAACTGAACTAAGTACTTTTTTTAAAAAGAAACTAAGTACTTCTAACTATTAGACGGGCGATTTAAACAAGATTGTCTGTTTGGAACCACCACTAGTAGTTAACTAGCTAATAGATACTCCTCCCCTTCTAGACCTTAGATTATTTTGATTTTTTCCAAGACACATAGCTTTTTCTATGCTTCTACATACGCACTATGTCTAGATATAAAACTCATCAATTTAGAAAAGTCAAAACAACCTACAATTTTGAAATAGAGTATTAACTATTAACTAGTTAATGATTTTGTAGGGGCTGTTTAGATCCACCTACTAAAGTTACTATTAGGTGCTAAGAGCATCTCCAGCAGCTCACCAATAATTCATCCCTAATAAGGTGGATAGTGCTTTTTAAATATTGAGAAAGATGCTCGAGCAGATCACCAGTAATCTCTCTCAAAATATGAGATCCACATGTCAAATCGTAATTTATTTATTTTCTCTCTTTTTCCCTCCTATTTTCTCTCCATGGCAGTAGGGACAGTCTTCGATCTTTGCACCCGATCTCGTCGTCCTCGACGCCAGTCCCAACGCCGCTTCGATCTACAGCCCCTACCCACCATCCCCCTTCCCCATCCTTGGCCCAAACCTAGCTACGTCGTTCGTCCCGATCCGATCCATGGTCGAGTCCCTCGGCAGGGCACGACCGGCTCCAGCGTGGCATCCCCAGCAAGGGCGCAACCAACAGAGAGGTGGAGTAGCGACGTGCGGGCCCAACAAAGCGATGGAGCAATGGCGCTCAAGCTCCTCGACGTCTGGGTCTAGGTTGGCGTGGCCGGAGGAGATGGGACCGGTTCATTGGAGCACGGTGATGGGGCGCTCGGGCTCCTCGGCGCCAAGGGCGGTTGGTGGCAGTGGTCGAGATGATGTGCGCGGCGATGGGAGCCCAAGCTCGGGCTCCTAGATGCTGGTGACTTGGAAAGCGACAAAGAAGAATGGCACGGGAGAGAAAAAACAAGTAGTTGGATGTGGCCCCAGATTATTGGTGTAGATGCAACTTTCCCTTTATTCTAAGGGGATGGGGGAGAAATTGGTGACCACGAAAAAGGGAGAGCTATTGAGGAGTTGTTAGAGCAATGAAATTGCCTCGCCTCCCCCAATACGTTGGCCACCCTGCGCCCTTTTTCGTCCTCTGTTGGAGCCGCCCCGCATTGAGCTGCCCGTCGCCGTTGAAGCTACATCCAACTGCAGACGAGGAGATGGTCGGAGGGGAAGGGCAGGGGTGCAAGTGTGGGACTCTCATAGGTCGCGACTACTTCGGCCTACTCCACGGAAGCGAAGAGGAGGAGATTGAGCGGGAAGAAGATGGAGATGGTGGGAGGAGGCGGGAAGAGGACGAAGGCGTGCGTGTAGCTAGGAGCACGAGATCTCCTTCTCACTTCTCATCGATATGGAAAAAAACTCTACTTTTACTGATGTGTCATCCTATTTAATGCTTATAAATCTCCCATGACATCCTCACTGATATTGGCCTAACTGCTATTGGTTGTTAGTACCGATGAATCTAAACTGTCATAGATGCGTGCAGTCCCTTCCTCTTGCATCCTGCTCTCAATCCTTTTTCTTTGTGCAATCAATGTGCATTCCTCCTCTAAGCGGGGCACTAAAAGCAAGTTTAGAGTAGTAGCTTGTCCACGAAAGAATGTAAGTACAGAAGGTAAAAGGTTAGCATATAGAGGTATGCTCACAGGAGCCACTTCCTGAAAAATAACAGCCGGCTCCTATCGTTTAGAATAAGTACAATAATTGGCTTATAGCCAAGCTAATTAATATTTTTACTGACATGAAAGAGAGAAAGAAGGAGAAGGAAGAGAGCTTGACTCTCATGCAAGTATTAAATTAGACACGGAAGCATAGATATTAGTGGACCCAGATAGAAATGTATGTGAAGATGAATAGAAAAGAGAAGGTAAGACATGGTACTATATAATAATAATAAAACTCTTTTCTATATAAACAGAAGATAAATTGTTGTATACAAAAGATTTTGCACTTAGCTTTATTGTTGACCTTGCTCTAGACAATCTGGCTCATGGAACCATGGAAAACGTTAGTGTTGGTGAAAAGCTATCTAGAGGCACATGTGTCTTTAGCCGTCTTGTCTAATTTCTCTTGGATTCCGAGAATTACTTTCTTTTAAGGATGGATGGAGGAGTTCTCAAGTACACAACACATCCGGCTTGGATGGCATAGTTACCCACTTCAATCACAAAAAACCATTATCATTTAGGATAAAATAATTTGGCCAGATCTTAAAAACTACAAACATCATTAACTTGCAAACTATTTGTTAGTTTGGAAATATATAAGTTATATGTGTATATGTATATTCAAATTAACTTGCAAATTCTCACACCTAAGGAAAGGCTTTAAAGATATATTCTAAAAGAAATTAGTGATAAAGAAATATGCATTGAAGATCGTGCAAAATCAAATATGACAATATTTTGACTGAGGAAGTACTTTAGCAAATTTTACACAGACAAAATTCATGTTTAAATTTTTGGAATTATAACATGATTTAAAATTCACGTTAAAATCAAATATGACAAAATTCACGATAAATCAAATATGACAAAATTCACGTTTACCAAAAGACGGCGGCAACCAAGAAACAAACAAACAGAGACAGTGGTTACGTTCACTTCCCGCCTAAGGGTCTAGCGACAAGACCACGCTTCTCTCCGTCGATGGCATGGCCATCCACCGCAGCAATCTCTCTTGCTACTTCAAGATCTCAAGGATCTGGCACCAATCGAAGCAATATCGCGCCAAATCCTTCGCCTCCTCATCTCCAACGAGTGAGACTACGCACCTCAAGGTCCTCACCGGGCTCCTGCGCGACACATGTTCGCTGAAATGCCTCAGAGAGCTCCACGCGCGTCTTGCCGTCGCGGGTGCGATCCAGGACAGATTCGTCGTCACAGGCCTTGTCGAAAGATATGTTTCTTTTGGGAAGCCCGCGTCTGCGGCGTTGCTGTTTGCCGAAGCCTACCGCGGCCGCCCCGCTGTGTACTCACTGAATCTCGCGGTCCGGTGCTTCTCGGACCATGGCTTCCACCGGGAGCTTCTTGATCTTTACCGGGAGCTATGTGGCTTTGGCTCGGATAATTTCACCTTCCCTCCGGTCATCAGGGCGTGCACGGCTGCCTCCTGCCTACGGCTGGGGAGGGAGGTGCACTGCAGGGTTCTGCGTACAGTGCATGGGAGTAATGTCGGCGTGCAGACTGCGCTCCTTGACATGTATGCTAAGGCTGGACAGATTGATGTGTCAAGGAGAGTCTTTGACTGCATGGTGCTGAGGGACTTGATTTCTTGGAATGCTATGGTCTCAGGGTACTCACTCAATGGATGCTTCCGAGAAGCTGTTGAGATGTTGCAGGAGATGCAGCAGTGTGGCATGAGGCCGAATGCAAGCACTCTTGTTGGCATAGTTGGCATGTGCGGAAGTGCCGGAGACAGGGGTGTTGGTAATTCACTGCATGCATTTGCACTGAAAGGTGGAGCGATTGATGATGAATCCCTTACATCTGCATTAATCTCAATGTATGCTGCATTTGATGATCTTTCCTCATCTCGACTGGCGTTTGATCTGCAACCTGTGAAAGATTTGGTATCTTTCAATTCCATGATATCAGCATACATGCAGCACAGCAATTGGAAGGAAGCTTTTGAGGTCTTCAGATTGATGCATTGTGCAGGCGTAGTGCCTAATCTGGTCACAGTGGTGTCTGTCCTTCCTTCTTGCAGTGATTTCTTTGGTATAAAGCATGGGGAGTCTGTGCATGGCATGATTATCAAGCTTGGCCTTGCAGAGCAGGTTTCTGTTGTCAGTGCTCTTGTGTCCATGTATTCGAAGCTTGGGAAATTGGACTCATCGTTGCTCCTTTTCTGTTGTTTTACTGAGAAAAACAATATCTTGTGGAACTCTATGATTTCTGGATACCTTGTGAATAATGAGTGGAACATGGCTCTTGATGCGTTCTGCAAGATGCAAATTGCGGGTGTTGCTCCAGATGCAACAACTGTCATTAATATAATATCTGGATGTAGATACACAAAAGATTTGCACGTGGCAAAGTCAATACATGCATATGCTGTTAGAAATAGATTTGAATCATACCAGAGCGTTATGAATGCACTCCTAGCTATGTACGCCGACTGTGGAGATATACCAACTTCCTATACATTATTCCAGAATATGGAAGTGCGGATGTTGATATCTTGGAACACTATGATATCTGGTTTTGCTGAAATTGGAGGTTCAGAGACTTCTCTAACATTATTCTGCCAGATGTTCCATGAAGAAGTGCGGTTTGATCTAGTTACTCTGATTGGTCTTATCAGCAGCCTTTCAGTGTCTGAGGATGCCATAGTTGGAGAATCAGTTCATTCTTTGGCAATTAAAAGTGGATGTATTTCAGATGTTTCTCTTACTAATGCCCTCATTACCATGTACGCCAACTGTGGTATTGTTGAAGCAGGTCAGCAACTTTTTGACAGTTGCTGTCCTAGGAATACAATCACTTACAATGCTCTGATGAGTGGATATCGCAAAAACAACGTATCTGAGAAGATATTGCCTTTATTTACCCAAATGGTCAAGAATGACGAGAAACCGAATCTTGTAACCTTACTGAATTTATTACCTGTTTGTCAGAGCCAGTTGCAGGGGAAGTGTATACACAGCTATGCAGTACGAAATTTCACCAGGCTGGAAACACCCCTCTTCACATCAGCCATGGGCATGTATAGTAGGTTCAACAATATAGAATACTGCAGAACAATTTTCAGTTTGGTCAGTGCAAGAAACCTTATAGTATGGAATGCCTTCTTATCTGCATGTGTTCAATGCAAGCAGGCTGATATGGTAGTTGATTGTTTTAAGCATATGCTCTTCCTTAATGTCAGACCTGATGCAGTAACTCTGCTGGCACTCATCTCAGCATGTTCACAGCTTGGAAATGCAGATTTTGCTGCATGTATTATGGCTGTCATACTTCAGAAGGGCTTTAGCACGAACATTTTGGTTCTCAATGCTCTTATTGACACATATTCGAGGTGCGGAAGCATATCATTTGCAAGGGAGCTCTTTGATAGCTCAGTGGAGAAAGATTCAGTCACTTGGGGTGCAATGATCAACGCATACAGTATGCATGGGAATGGTGAGGCTGCCCTTGATCTTTTCTCAATGATGATAGATTCAGGAGTGGATCCAGATGATATAACTTTTGTTAGTATATTATCGGCCTGCGGTCATAATGGTCTCGTAGAGCAAGGAAGAACATTGTTCAAATCGCTACAGGCAGACCATGGCATTACACCACGAATGGAGCATTATGCATGTATGGTGGATCTATTGGGCCGAACTGGCCACTTGGATGAAGCATATGATATTGTTAGGTCAATGCCATTCACGCCATCAGATAACTTGCTTGAATCATTGCTTGGAGCATGCAGATTCCATGGTAACTATAAAATTGGCGAGTCTGTAGGAAAATTACTCATCAAATCTGAGTATGGCAAGTCAAGATCTTATGTTATGCTCTCGAACATATATGCTTCAGCTGGCAAATGGAGTGATTGTGAGCAGCTGAGATTAGACATGGAAGCAAAAGGATTGAGAAAAAATGTGGGGGTTAGCTTTATTGGGATGACATAGCCCTGATGAAACAATGTTCTAGAGTTTCAGAAGTTTTTTTTTCACACATTACAGTTTCGGGAAACGCCTTCAAAGTAATTTGAACTTCAAAAGTAATGCTCCTATCTAGTTGACCTTTCTTACAGGCAGTCACTAGGGCATTTATTTTTGTTTGTGCACAGGAAAACATTCCATCACTCTTCGACGCCATAATATGTTGGAGTGGTTCATTGCACTAAATCGAACTATTTCCATCTATGCGCAACAAGGAGTGTTGCATCTAATATTATCTATTACAAATTCCAAGGAAGAGGCAGTTGAGATTTTCTAGCAGACACCTGCAATTCTGGAATGTCATTACTGTCTGGTTGTCAGGTGAACTTAAGTTTGATGCATGTCCTTATTTACAATTTCCAGCTACCATGAGGTTATAAGTGAATATGGGGATGCTAGGTGCCAGCCTGCAGATCCATGTGGAGGCAGGCATTCTCCAAGCAAGCAGCAGCCATGGCGCCCAGCCACTACCCGGGAAGCAGAGCCAAAGCGACCAGCCAAGCCTCTCTGCGTATTTTTTTTATGAAACAAGTGAATGGTAGAAGTTGGATAATTTTGCCCTGGTAAGCCAAGCCTCTGGGGTCTCCTCTTACCATACTTCCGTCCTGTTTCGGCTTCCGCCAATGCTGGGCTTGCGCCTGTGAGGTGTTCGGAGGAATGCTCCGGCCAGTTGCTGATGCGGGTGCGCCTGCAGGTCAGGAAGCTGGAGTCGCAGGGCGTGCCCACCAAGCAGGCAGAGGCGATCACCTCCGCAATCACGGAGGTCCTCAACGACAGCCTCGAGGCATCTCCGAGTTCTTTGTCTCCAAGGCTGAGATGCAGAGGTAGCACTTTGACATTACGTGGCGGGTTGTTTCTGAGTGTTGGTTAATTGTCTTCCTCATCTGGTGGTCTTGCTTGGCTCTTTGCAGAGTGAGATGCTGCAGGAGTCCAATATCTCCAAGTTCAAGCAGGGGCGAAGCCAGCCAAAAATGGCGTCGGGGTCAGCTTCACTAAAATGGTAGAAATAAGCTAGAGATGCAAAGGTTTTGCTAAGGAATGACAGGATTTCGTCGGGGTCGGCCGACCCGGTGAAAAGTCCTGGCTCCGCCCCCTGAGTTCAAGTCGCAAGTGCAGAGCTCGCAGGTATGATTCAAATTTAAAATGTTAGATAATGAGTAGTGTCTATCCCTGGATTTCCATTGAACTTAATTTGGGACCTTATACATGATCCACATAAATTGTTGCTGGCTTAAAATTAAAATTGATTGCATAGCTCTTATGCTGTACTGTATTTTATAGGCCTTTTGGGGGTGAAGGCACTTAGTATTGCTTCCTCTCTGGTTTGTTTTAGATTGTTCATTTGAGCAGTACAGGGGTGATTGAATGAAGGTTTGTACAACCTGATTTAGAGCTGCTGCTCATTAACATGATCGGGTTATTAGTTTGTGGAATACACATGTGTGTGAATGGAGATTACGGATTGAGATCACCCATTTGAAACAACCATTTATCTGTGCCTCAGATTATGGTGGTTATTATACTATTATGTCTTGGCCAATTTGATCATCTTAATTTGCAATGAGACTGGTACATTTTGCTCAGTCTTAGTACTTGACCTTTTATTTTGAGTTAACATCAGTGGTCTGAGCTTGCCATGTAGAAGTTATTCTCAAATCATCAAGTTACATTAGTTCAGGTTTATCAGTTGTACTGTTTGTCGTGTATCCATTACAGCACCCTTTCTCAAATCAACTTACATCATGAAATGTTAGTGTGGTACCCACAATAAGGGATGGACGTATGGTACCTCTCTGAGCCTTTGGTGAAATCTCTTATCTCTGATACCCTGGGTATACCAGCAGTAAAGCTAGGGAGGAATAAAATTATCTTCCTTTTCAAAAACTATTATTAGTACTGCAACACGGACATGTGCATTTGAATTAGCTAAGATTGTTATGCATCGCACCATTTTTCTTATTTTCAACAATTAGTTTCAAGCTTGCAGCCTGTCAGTTTCATAGGGGTTCCAGAACCTAGTGTGTTGACATCAAAATTTGGTAATTGGGAAGAAAGCGGCTGGTAACGTAAAAAGAAGAAAATCTCCGATAATGACCATGACTCGAAAGCTGATGAGATATATACGATGGAGTCATTCATGCTCAGAAATTAATGGGGAGCAGCAAAAGGTCAAACAGCTGGCAGTTCTGATGTGCCTACCATCTTGTTTGTTACATATACGTGATGCATTATTGGGCAACCGGCAAGGCAAATGGAAAAGGATGAGAGGCCAAGTGCTATACGAGCTATGCTTGACATGGATGCCAGCAAGATTAAGATCAGTTAACGAGGAAGGGATATTTTAATAGTTGTTTGGCCGGGCTGCATAAGGAAATAAATCAAATATATCTTTGGATGGAGACGTGAAGCTTCTTGATTAAAGAAAGAGTCCATGCATGAAGGAAATAATCGATCCACAAATTACCGACGTAGTGATTAGTGAAGATGCAAGCCAATAAAGATGCGTCCAAGCAAATATATCACGTTACATGTTACCAGAGCCATTTGTGGAGAAGATTTCCAAGATCGGCCGGTCAAGGAAAGGGAAGTTGTGTTTGCACGGGACTCTCGAGAATACATTGCTTGCATGGTGTTAACACTTTGGATTTTGGTCGACTTTGGAAGATGACGGTGGGGTCCGCATGTGGGAAGAAGGACATTCGCAAACAAAAGCGAGCGGTCGGCTAAATGCTTGTGCGGTCGGTTACTTGAAGGTGGTGACTCCATTCGGGAAAGCGAAAGATGGCAAGCAAAGCCGATCGAAAATGATGAAAGTTGTAATAATAAAGGACTCGAGAGTTTGGGGCAAGGAATCGTAGTTTCCAAGTTTGTTTAAGAGTTCCTTTGTAAATCGTAGTCTTTAGGACTCGTGTTTAAGTCTAGGGTATAAATATTGACCCTCGACCATTGTAATAGGCGTTCACAACCAAATCAATACAACCGCCCCGTGCCAACTTTCGAGTCCTTTTGTCGGTGTCGCCGAGTTCTTGAGAGGAGTCATCGATCCGTCGACCTCCGTAAGTTCCGACAACCTTGTTATCATGTTTAGTATCATGCGGTGGATTTAAACGTGATGCAAGTAGTCTTGTTTGTTTTCAATGATCGTCTGGGCGGATCTTTGCTTGACAATCAAGAAGTCTTCGCTTATACTTTGTTTATGAGTAGATACCTGATGCGTGACGTTTGCTCAATATGCTTAGTGGAAGCAAGACAGATTATCGGCTCTATTAGATTACGGCAAAATCTAAATAGATTCATCAAGTTATCTGTGTGTTGCATGTTTTAAATATTTTATACATTTGTAACACACTTTTTTGCCCAATCTAGATTGATATTGTTCGCCCTCTTCTATGGTTTTATTCGAGCTTCAATGATCATTACTTTCATAATATCTTTGCAAATAGATAACATGCTGCTCGTAATGGCCAAATTATTTTAATCTAGATTGTCACATGTTGTGGGTTCATGTATGTTAATCACGTTTAAGTTTTTGACGAAACTAGGTGTCGTATGCGCGATTTGAGTTTTAGATTGGCTTAATCATGTTTATCTACATCGCCCTTCTTCATGGACCCCAACTTCACCGGATTCTTGAGCTTGGATATGTATTAACGCATAATCAATTTCACTTGTTCAAACATGTCTTTCCATGCATATGCATTCGGCAATCAGATCTTTATGTATGTCCATCTTACGATTAGCGAATGATTTATAAACTTGTTGGCGATGACTTCCTATAGTCAGTATGTCGTTGTAAAAATAACCAGGGCGTATATACGAACTATCTTCGTCTCACCCGACATGTTCCGGTTTGACATTTAATTGTTTTATCCCTTATCGGCTCTTTCAGTCAAATCGACCGCACGCATTCGGATCACGAAGCACCCGGCATCCGATTGAAGCTACGCTTTTATTGTTGCAGGTGTGTGCACAGTCGTCACATTTTGTGTCAACACACTTTTTGGCACGCTTCGGTGGGACCATAATCGTTCGATTGGAAGTCGATGCTTTATGGATATTCTATTAGCTTCCAAATCACGGAGAGTCTGAATTTTTCATCTACAACAAAAGGGCGATCTTTGGTATTTATTCAGCATCTATTAAAGCATTATTCATCAAGACCTCGGCATGTGGCATCAACAAACAACATATCATACTCTATAAGGCCAATTTCAATTACGCTGAAAAGTCACCATCTGATTAAAAGGCGGTGAGCGATTTTCATCTATTCACGTGAACCAAGATCGTGATTTTCTTGAGCTTCGAGATCATTGTCAAATACCACGGAGGAAACCAGATGACAAAATTGCAAGGCCACGTCTTCGCTGTTCGGGAGCCTCAACAAGATTCGAGGATGTAATCTTTGAATACCTCAAGCACGAAAAATATCGGAGGGAAAAATGCCGTTAATCATACTCACTGCCTCCGGAAAGTTGATTCCGGTCAAAAGGAACATCGGCGCTTAGATTAAAAAAAAAAAGAGGACTAATGGATTATTTGGATGATGGAGTTATTTTATTATCGAAAAGTAACCGATCGGTCTAACGGGAGAAGACGAGGGTCCCGACACGGAGGGGATTGCACGTCATTTGTGTGGTGCTACTAGCAACGTGTGCCGAGTTCTTGTTGTTGTGCTTACAAACTTCCAACAACATGTTGACACTTTAAGTGATAAAGTCAAGAAGATCAAAAAGCGACGCCATTGTTTTGTACTCTGCCGCCCAAAGAATGTTGCATCGACTAAACAAAGATATACTACAAAGATTCCATACACACGATATGGGATGATTGCCAATGTATGTAATCTATTCGGACGGTTGCTCCCTTACATCTATCGGCTTCAAGACTTTGGGTCAATAACGCTCATGAAGGAGGATCGGCTACTATACTTGAGGTTCAAGACTACGCCCCAAGCCGGTAAGCTATCTGCGATGGGGTCCCTACCAACGCCGCTCATAAGAAGATTACACGAGGGTTTGGGCTCCTTCATCCCATGAGCTCCAAGATGCTCCATCATACCGATGAGCCGATACGTGGTGTTGCTGTCACCCAATTGGCGCACATCGGCATGTATGCATGCATATATGCTTCCTCGCCGCCAGCAGACGGACATAGACATTGGGTGCAGAACCTATACAACCAGAGCCATCCATTGGCACACTACTCTAGCATGTACAAATTATTGGTTTCTATACCGATTTGGATAGAGCATCGACCCAGAGTTCTTCTATACTTTAGTCGATGAACACAGGAAAGGATTATAGAAAGTGATAGCCGATGGCATGTTGATTCCACATGTCCTCGCGGCCGGACCAAAGTTTGTTTGATTGAGTAGTACATGTGCGTACATATCAAAGGAGAAAGAGATAATTGCTTACGTTCATTCAAGAGATATGGTGATAGGGCTTCACTCAAGATATACACGTCGGCTAATTATAGTTCGCTCACATCAACGGAGACAACCGATGTAATCGGTGTATCCTGAGAAACATTGACGAGACAAGCCGATTGATTCCTTAAATCGCAAGGTGGCCACATGACTCAAATATTGGAGCGGCATGTTTAGGATAAGGTTGCAAATATGATATTCCCACAAAAGTAGTCGATGTGTCCATGCGCTTGCAGGGTATTGGTTGATAACAATATCGGCTTGGAGAGTCATGGATAAATTCTACCAATCGGATATCGGCAAAGGAATGGTGCGGCGCCTTGGCATGAATAGCAACTTGTACCTATTCACTACCACCGCAAGACGGCAACAAACCTAGCAATAGACGGTCCTATTTACAAGGCGGACGGATCCACCGGGATGTTTCCAAAGTGCAAGCACAAGATCATGAAGTGGTGGACACATCTACAACATGTCGAGGATGACGT